ACAATAGCAAAGAGACAGATACCGGAGCGGTGGCATCTATCTTACGGGATTTGTATAAAGGGGACGCTGATTAGTTGAGGGTGCAGGGGCAACGCCCCCTCGGTACGGTACAGGGGTATTTTTGTAAATACGTCCGTATTAGGGTTATATAAATACTTAAGATGTAACCATACTTTTAATAATGAAAAAAGAACGGCCGTTCGCTCTCGTGGATGTAGGCACATTGTCGAACCACGTAAATCTCTGTGTGTTATTTTCTCTTACTTTCTTAATTGTTGGATTCCTTATTATTCACCATAATTGTTGCACTATCACAACAACTGGTATCAGAGCCAGGTTACGATGTCTGGGATTTCTTCTACAAAATTCGACATCATGAAGTTCGACAAAACTGAAAATTTCAGATTATGGCAGAGGAGGGTGAAGGACCTGTTAGTGCAGCAGGGCATGGTGAAGGCATTATATGGAAAACAACCACCAGGAATGGACGACATGGATTGGAAAGAATTGGAAGCGAAGGCTGTGGCGACTATTAGGCTTTGTCTGGCTAATGAAGTGATGTATCACGTCATAGATGAGGAATCACCGGCGGAAGTTTGGTTGAAACTGGAAAGTCAGTATATGTCCAAGTCGTTGACGAACAAGCTCTATCTTAAGCAAAAACTATATGGTCTTAAGATGTCAGAGGGCTCGGATTTGACCCAACACATCAATGTGTTCAATCAGATTATCAGCGATCTGAAGCGAGTTGATGTGAAGTTCGAAGACGAAGACAAGGCGCTGATGTTGCTGAATTCCCTACCGGCGTCTCCTACGTACAAGAATTTGGTTACGACTCTAATGTGGGGAAAAGAAACCCTCGAGTTAGAGGATGTCACAGGTGCTCTATTAGGTTTTCATCAGCAGAAGAAAACCAGTGATGAGGCTTCACAAGGTGAAGGACTTGTGGTGAAAGGTAACCAGGAACATGGAAGAAGTAAATCTCAAAATGGATCGGGTAACAATAAAGCCCGATCCAAGTCGAGGAAGAAGAAGAAGGACGTCTTCATCTCGTGTTACAAGTGCGGGAAAAATAGGCACTTTAAACGGGACTGTCCAGAGAAAAAGAAAGGGGATTCAGAGGACAAAGAGGGTGCATCAAAGTCTGCAAACGTAGTGGAAGAAGAAGATTCAGAGAGTAGTGAGAGTGATATGCTTTCTGTTTTATCCAGTTCAGATCGTTTAACAGATTCTTGGATTATGGATTCAACATATTCCTATCACATGACACCCAACAAAGATTGGTTTGACACCTACGGGTCAGTAAATTCTGGTTCTGTTCTGATGGGTAATGATGCATCTTGCAAAGTTGTTGGAATATGAAATATTAGAATTAAGATGTTTGATGGTATGGTTAGAACGTTGTGTGATGTTAGACATGTACCGGATCTAAGGAAGAATTTGATTTCATTGGGCACTTTGGATTGTAATGGTTATAGTTATAAATCTATAAGTGGAGTAATGAAAGTGAGTAAAGGCATGCTGACAGTGATGAAGGGACAGAAAGTAGCAAGAAACATTTACAGACTGCTGGGTACTACAATTGTAGGTGGAGTTGCTGTTGTAGAGTCTGAATCAGATAATACAGTCTTGTGGTATATACGGCTGGGTCATATGAGTGAGCGTGGGATGATAGAGCTTTATAAGAAAAATCTATTGAAAGGTGTCAAGACATGCAAGCTCAATTTTTGCAAATATTGTGTTCTTAGAAAACAGAATAGGGTGCAGTTCAAGACAGCCACACATAAAACAGAGAGGGTTCTCGACTATGTCCATATAGATGTTTGGGGACCAGTTAGCGTAGTATCACGGGGAAGATACATGTATTTCGTGAGTTTCATTGATAATTACTCACGAACGGTCTAAGTGTACTTCATGCGGCACAAGTCTAAAACGTTTGCCAAGTTCAAGCTGTGGAAAGCTGAAGTAGAGAACCAAACAGGGAGGAAGGTTAAATGCCTCAAGTCAGATAATGGTACTGAGTACACAGATTCAAAGTTCCAGGAGTTGTGTGAGCAGCATGGGATCAAGAGACACTTCACAGTCCGCAAGACACCACAACAAAATGGTGTAGCGGAAAGGATAAATAGAACGATAGCCGAGAAAGCTCGGTGTCTCGGGTTGAATGCAAGACTTGCAAAGAATTTCTGGGCAGAGGCAGTGAATATGACATGTTTCTTGATTAACAGATCACCGAGGGCAGCACTAGATGAGAAAGTATCAGAAGAGGTATGGACAGGCAGTGAGGTAGACTACTCTGGTTTGAGAGTGTTTGGATGTCCAGCCTATGTACATGTTTCTAGTGAGGAGAGGTCGAAGCTTGTTGCGAAGTCTAGACAGTGTATCTTTCTGGGATATCAGAAAAGAGTGAAAGGCTTCAAGCTCTGGGATCCGAAGGCAAACAAGATGGTGATCAGTAGAGATGTGATTTTTGATGAAAAAGTCATGTTGCAGCGTACTCAGGAAGAAGAGAAACAAGTACCAGAAAACTGTAGCACTAATGAGCATGTGGTGCAGGTGGAGATAGAGAATCATGGTAGAGAAGAGGATGCTCAGCATGTACAGTGTTCTATCTCAGGTGATCAGCAACATCATAGTATAGCCACAGACAGGCCCAAACGCAATATCAAGCCGCCTACTAGGTATGGTTTTGAAGATTTGGTTTCTTATGTGCTTATTACTAGTAACGGTGATCCTACAACTTTTTAGGAGGCAGTACAAAGTCAATAGAAAAGTAGATGGATGGGTGCTATGGTGGAGGAGATGGAGTCTTTGCATAAGAACCAGATGTGGGAGTTGGTGGAGCTTCCCGAAGGGAAGAGAGCAATAGGGTGCAAATGGGTGTATAAGAAGAAAGAAGCAATATCAAAAAAGGAGGGGAAAAAATTCAAGGCTCGTCTAGTAACAAAGGGTTACTCATAGAGAAAAGGGGTTGACTATGATGAGATCTTCTCCCCCGTGGTCAGACACACTTCCATCAGGACAGTGTTGGCACTAGTAGCACATTCAGATATGCAGTTGGAGCAGATGGATGTAAAGACAGCTTTCCTTCATGACGACTTGGAGGAACGGATTTACATGGTATAGCCAGAAGAGTTCGGTCTCCCTAGAGAGGAACATTTGGTTTGTAATTTGAAGAAATCACTTTATGGGCTGAAGCAGTCTCCGAGGCAGTGGTACAAGCGATTTGACTCTTACATGATCCGGATTGGCTACAAAAGGTATGAGTATGATTGCTGTGTCTATGTGAAAAGCCTTGATGATGATTCATTTATTTTTCTGTTACTTTATGTGGATGATATGTTGATTGCTGCCAAGAGTATGAGTGAGGTCAACAAGTTGAAGACTTTGTTGAGCAAAGAATTTGACATGAACGATTTGGGTGCAGCTAAGAAGATTCTTGGGATAGAGATTCGCAGGGACAGAAGTTCCAGGAGATTATGGCTATCTCAACATAGCTATGTTGAGAAGGTGTTGGACAGGTTCAACATGAGTTATACAAAACTAGTAAGTACACCTTTGGCGAATCATTTCAGATTGTCTATCGCTCAATGCCCGAAGACAGATGATGAAGTTCATGACATGTCAAAGGTCCCATATGCTAGTGCAGTGGGGTGTTTGATGTATGCTATGGTTTGTACAAGACCAGATTTGACACAAACTGTCAACGTGGTTAGCAAGTTTCATTCAAATTCGGATCGACAACATTGGGATGCAGTCAAGTGGATTTTCAGATACTTGAGGGGCACTACAGACTATGGCATCATGTTTAGCAGACAACAGAGTGACCCTTCAGTTATGGGATATGTGGATGCAGACTATGCAGGGGACTTGGATGACAGGAGGTCTACCACAGGTTATGTGTTTACTCTTGTGGGATGACCTATTTGTTGGAAGTCCATGGTACAGCCTATAGTTGCACTATCTACTACTGAGTAAGAGTACATGGCAGTAGTTGAAATTGCCAAGGAGCTTTGTGGCTTACAGGTTTAGTCAAGGAGCTGGGTGGCCAGCAAGGTGGAGTTCAGTTGTATTGTAACAGTCAGAGTGTCATTTATTTGGCAAAGAACCAGGTGTATCATGCGAGGACCAAGTATATAGATGTGAGGTTTCATAAGATTAGGGAACTGCTTTCTTCTGGTGAACTATTACTTGAGAAAGTTCACACTTCTGAGAATACAGCAGACATGTTGACAAAGCATGTTACTACAGACAAGTTCAAGCATTGCTTGGACTTGATTAATGTCTCTAGTTGCTAGATGGGAGATGTTTCAATTTACCGTCTCCGGTGGAGTTTTCGAATACATGTCCTCTCTTTTTTCCTAAGGGGTGAATATTTGCCCAGGGTGGAGATTATTAAAGTATGTGTGGCTCATATTTGTTGTATGCACAATGACAATGAGACAAATGCCGGAGCGGAGCCCGTGACGGCATCTACCGTGCGGGATTTGTATAAATGGGACGCTAATTAGTTGGGGCGCGGTACAGTACAGGGGTATTTTTGTAAATACGTCCGTATTAGGGTTATATAAATATTTAAAATGTAACCCTACTTTTAATAATGAAAAAGAACGGCCGTTCGCTTTCGTGAATCTCTGTGTGTTATTTTCTCTTACTTTCTTAATTGTTGGATTCCTTATTATTCACCATAATTGCTGCACGATCACAACAGTTCAAATGTTGTATTAATAAGATTTGTCGTAACAATATTAATTAGGAAGGACATGTTTATACATGATTCAACAATTGACACAAAATAGACACTAAATAACTAGGTAAGACTTAAACCCTGACAAGTTCGAGTAATAAATGATTTGACTAATCAAGTTTGTTTATAACAGGTCAATATATGAGCCCGACTCAACAAGATACGTACGTGGCTAAATATAATTTTTACACAACATAAGCCCGACATTTATCATTATAAATGGTTCAGGGGTGTTTTGAGTAAATTTTCATACCGACACTATATGACTTAGACAAAAAAACATACATATCAATTGCATTTTTTATGTAATGAAGATGGTCTTGGAGGTATTCGATCCTCATCTTATCCACACGGGCTTCTGAAAGTGTTAAGTTGGGATTAGTTGCTTCATCAAAACCTGCGAAACACCGAAGCATATTTAATAAGAAATTAGGATCGAATTATCACAAAATTAGATTTTTGTTTCTTTAAATAAAATAGTGACATTGAATATCGATAAGAAAAAGAAGAATAAATTAATTAATTACCATTCTCTGTAACGTAAATAAGTGGATCATCATAATTTTCCTTTATATGAACCAAAATCTTATAAATCCCTTTTGGACAAGCATAAAGCCAACCAGAACCACCCTGCAATCATAAGAAAAGATATAAAATTATGTACATAAGAATTGAATACATGCTTAACAACTGATCTGCAGCCAAATGATCATGAGCAGCTGTATCTAAATTTAATGTAAGCATAGTGTGAAACTTGGCTCAATTGGCTTCCCTATCATGACATTATCTTTTCCAAACGTGATGGAAGCAGAGACAGTACTCTATAGCTTTGATAAAAATCATGCTGAGAAAACACTAATGACAACTAGTTGATAAGAAAACACTATTGACACCTACTTGAATGTCAAAGTCTTACCTGTGGACCGATGGGTACCCCATCTCTCTCACCTAGCAAAACAAAACATGGTGGTAATTTTAGTATAACGCCGAAATAAAAGTTCATTCCAATATTAAATGATGCTATTTGGATTTTTATTTTTGACCAAGTTCATTATTGTAAACTTACATGTATATCTAACATGTGAATCTGTGACATAACTTAAACGCCCATCTTTTGGATCAGTTGCACTGGTTACGTACGAAGCAGTGTAGTAATTTAGTCCTAAAAAATCATATGATCCCTTCTTCAACTTCTTGGATTGCTCCTTTGTGAATTTTGGAGACGAGAACCCACATTTTCTTTCATAGTTTCCGGATATTGACCTGTTGTTATAGGCTTTATAAACCTTCCATACAAATAAAAGATGCAATATTTAAAGACTAAATTGAGAAAATTGACAATTAAAGGATTATTTTGAAATTGAAAGCATATATAGCTAGTGCGGATCGATTAAGATATTTATCCTAAAAACTTTTGTTTGCAATGTAATGATATAAAAAAGTACATCATTTGATTGAGAAAAACACGTGTTTTTTTCTACTCAGAAAATAATTAAAACAACACTAATTGTGCTCTCACCATCCAAACAAAAAATCAAGGGCACGCTCTGCAGCTTCAACATCGTCATTATCCTGATCATCTAGAGGCTCCATCCACTCTGACGCAAGTGTAATTCCAATCTTACCCTTTTGACTTTTCTGCATACATAAGACATCCAATTAATCTAAAATTTCTTAGATAACTTTGTCAATATCAATACTTCTATGAACAGAAAATGAGGACTGGCGTAAAGCTAAAAATAATAATAACAATTTTATTATTATTATTATTATTTCACTTTGTCCCTCTAAATTGTGAACTTCATCTCATTTTGTCCCTTGAACTATTGATTTTTTGTAATCATAGTCGAAAATGTAATATGAGCAGTACGATATTTAAGAGGACAAAGTAACGCCATTCTCATAGTTTTGCCTGTGATAAAAAACCAAAAAATACTAAGGTTTAATATGCTTGGGCGAAAACCTTAAAATTTTTTCTATATAACTGTACAGCAGCAGCATGGACAAGGAGTAGGTTGTGTGAAACCAAATATGGTTCTTTCCCTGCATCCCCATCCTGGGAAGAATCTTTCTGGTGATAACGAAATCAGCGAGATGTGAGGGCAAGTTTTACATTTTCTGGCGAAGAATGGCCTCGACCTGGTGGGAAGGTACCCAAAGCATAACCGAACATGCTGTAAATCACTGGCTCATTTAACGTTATCCAGTGCTTGACTCGATCACCAAATTCCCAAAAACAAAGCTCCGCGTAATTGCAGAAATCAACCCTGTTGTGGACATGCAGTGCAGTGAACAATCAAGAAAGGAAAGCAATCACAATTTGTAACATGAGTTTGGGTGGTTCAGTGAACAATTAAGAAAGGAAAGCAATCGACGGGATAGGTTATTGCACTATATCAGAATGCAACTGAGCTACAGCGTACTTAGAGGTACCAGTTGAAAGCTCTTAATTTTGGTTAATCACTTGACCCAAATTCCAACATAAGTGATATACCCAATCCTCATAAAATTTATGCATCATTGAAAATTTTAAATATTCCCATACCGTACCACGGGCTATGCCTTCCACGCCCCCAACTTATTATTCAACTCTAATAACTGACCACTAATGGCGTACTGGCTATTGAATTTTTGGCTTAGTGAATATGATTTGCTCTCTACTTCCAACAAACCCTCGACGATCGACATGGTTTCTTATAGTTAAGAGAACTTCATGGTTTCAAGGTGTTTTAATTAACAACCCTAAACTTGGATCATCAGTTATTTCGACTAAACTATACAAAAGAAACAGATTCACATACATATTACATTCTTACTTGATGGCAATGAATGAAAGTGCATTATTAGGCTTAGAACAAGTTCCATGAATGGATCAATGTGAATAAATCTTGTTACCACGTAAAATGTCGTCAATGGATAGGAAAACTACGGATCATAAAATTGAAACTGAGTTACTTACACAATTTCGGCACTTATGAAACCACCATACTCATCTTGTAAAGATTGAGGAAGATCACAGTGGAAAAGGGTTACAAAGGGCTCTATACCTGTGCATGGATGATAAATGTAGTTAAAACTTGAGAGAACATGTATATATATCTTCTCAATTGACAACGAAAGAGTCATGCTAAACTAAATTGTAACCATTGGCGAGAAGCTCGTCTATGAGGTTGTTATAGTACTTGATTCCTTCCTTATTCACACCTCCGCTTAGTTTTCCATCTGTTAATAGTGGGAAGAAAATATAAATCATCAAATGAATTAAACAAGGGCAAACAAAGAAAAAAAAATCCAATAGAAAAAATCAAACTATAGTATCAACTGCTTGATTATCACAACAAATTTATTGTATCCTAAATCTGTCCCGAATAATTATGATGGCTTGACTAAATGCTATGAATGTATGATTTATTTTAGCTTCCCCCAATTTATTTCCTAGGATTAGAGATTATGTTCTCCAGTATATATAGAATCTCCAATTACATAAATCTTAGATTAGGTTCTAGTTGGCACGTACGAGTTGCATGCCCAGTATCAGTTGGTATACTTACTTGGCAACATTCTAGACCACGAAATTGAAAATCTGTACGCTTTTAGTCCAATTTTCTTCATGATTTTCGCGTCTTCCTACAAAATAATTGAGGAATAGAAATCCAAAAAAAAAATTGTAATTATTTCTCAAATGCTTAGTACAAATTGAATTTTTCTCTCCACCATACCTTGAATAGATGATAAGAATCAGCCGCCACATACCCATTACTACCATCTTTCACCTTACCTGTCATTGCAAAAGAAATTTTTGTCAAATATCATATTTTTTGGGGAGCTAAGTATTATATGTCTGTTCTTATTTACAGGAATATAGAAAAAAAAAAGGTTATAAATAGAAAGGTTTAAAACGATGAGAGAGATTTATGAGGTTATTTAATCATTGTAGTTACTAAATATAAAGCCCTTCAAAGAATTATACTAATAGTGTGTGTGGGGGGGAGAGAGAGAGAGAGAGACCAGGATATCTCTCCGTGAAAGTATCCCAGATAGATGGTCCTTTGCTGCACCTTCAATCTAACGAGGAGGAAAAATCCAAAAAGAAAGAAGGAACATAAGCACTTCTGCATTGTGTTTCTGCATGAGCAATGTTCTTGAGATCTAATTTATTGATTTAATTTATTGACATAATTCACTATAATCGTTGGATTGGCGGTAGATCCTATTAAACAATGAAACTTGATGTTAATTCAACAGTTATAATGAAGTCACATCTTTAAGTCAATAAATTAGGTGAAATTTGAGGTTCTAATGGCATTACTCATTCTACATATCACTGTGGTGTTTGAACAAGAATAATTACACTTTAGCCTCCTTAACTGAGCCCCTATCTCAAATTACCCATGAATTAGTATGCCACTTACGTTGCACCCCCAACCATATATGATTATTGGTCTCACTTTGCCTCCTCATTCAACTATATCACATTTCCCCCATTATAGCTTCAACCATAGTAATTTGTTTTCTATTTTCTCAACTTTGGACATTGAAAATCGATTTTTTATGACCCATGGACAGTCTGTTAAATCATGACAAACACTTACTTTCAAAAAATTTCACACAATAGAGGCATGATTTACCTGATAAGCAGATGTTGCCGTCCCAAACACAAAATCCTAAGGAAATTTCCGGCCGCTTGGCTTTTGCATGCCACCACTTACATTTTTCTCGCAAGTAATATGATCGCTCATCAACATCTCCAGTGCCATCGAGGTCACAACTCCAATGGGATCACCTTGCCCTTGACTCTCCATCTCCAGGGGCATTGAGATCTCAGCTGGTGCAGTGTAATTGTCTTGCCCTTGATTCTCCATAACTGAAAACCTCACTTGTATGTCTATCTTTGCTCACTGATTTTGGATACCAAGCTTGACGATAACAGGGCTTTATATAGGACCACAAAGGTAAGTGGTCACTGATTTTGGATACCAAGCTTGACGATAACATGGCTCCCTAGTCAAGACATCGTACTCCTTTAGAATATTTCCTATCTTCACATCAAACAAAGCATGGATATAAAAAGTAAAGTGGACCCACTAACCAGTATCAAACAACAGTAAACAGCTATCTATGTGAGTCTGTGACATTTGAAATCATCCAACTTCTTCAATTTTTCAAAAGCAATTTTAGTTATCCAATCAGAATAAAGTAAAGTCTTAATAACCAAAAAATTGGCCTTTAGCTATGGTAAGGTCACACCTACACCAAACGACTAGACATATCAATGTGTTTGATTGACAGTGAAAGAAATGAGAAGGACTTGCCTAAGGTACCGGTGGAAAAAAATTACCATACCTCCAACTTTTATTATTTTAACAGGCATTTTTATATTTTTTATGAGTTATTTTAAAATAAAAAAAATTACCATTTTTGTAAATATTTTTACCCCTGTCGTGTGTGTTATTTTCACATTTGTGATAACTATTTTTATCAGTTTTTTTAGGTACAAGAAAATTACACTTTTGTAAGTGATTTATCACATTTGTGAGTATTTTTATTACATTTCTGATTTTTTTTATCAATATTGTGGTAAAATGTAATACATAGCGTTATGGTAAAAAAAAAAATGGGTATTATAATCAACTCCAAATGAGAAAGTAGAGAGGTGTTGAGAGTTTTTCTTCTCCGTCGAGGGCATTTGGATTTTGTGGGAAAACCAGCTCATCCAAATGTTGAAGGCTTCATCTCTACCATGCCTTTTTGTGTGTTTTTTTGCATTCACTGAGAACGTGTCACAAGTAAATTTCTTTTATTTTAAACTTAAAAGATTTAAATATTACATATAATTAAATTTCAGAGGATCTTAATGTAATTTATTAGCGAATATGTTAATAGACATTAATGACAATGGTATAAGTGTTATGGTTACGCGCGTAAAAACTTTAGAAAGTGTGAAAAGTTCTATAAGCTCGCAACTTAAAGAAAATGCATGGCTTCTATAAATAATTATAACTTCACATCAAAAGATGGTAATTTTTTATTACAAAATAGTTATAACCTCGTATCAAAAAGTTGTAACCTAACCTCTAACTAATTCTTCAAACTAAATTCTTGGAAGTTCCAATTATAGGATCAATCATGACTAGTGTAACTTTTTTTTTGGATTTTTTTTTTAATTTGTCTCGATCCTATATTCAATTACATTAAATTGACATATAATGTTATAAAATTAATTTTCAATTTTATCCAACTAACACTGAATTCATAAAAAATAACATTAAATTGACCTTCAATTATATTAAATTAACATTCAAAATTATAAATTTAAAATTCATCAAATTAACATTAAATTGACATTTGACATTTTGTTGTGTTTGAAATATAAATTGATGAAATTAAATGTTACCAAAAACAATTAAATGTTCAATTAATGTTAAAGGTTAAATTGATGAAATATTAATTTTGTGGAAATTAATGTTAAATTGATGAAATTAAAGGTCAATTTATTATAAAATTGACAAAAAATTGACGAAATTAAATTTTAAATTAAGTAAACTCGAATATTAATTTAGTAAAATTAAATATTAATTTGATATTAACTAAATGAATTGAAATATTAATTGAATAAAATTGAAGGTTAATTTAGTGCCAATTTTATAAAATAAAATTTTAAAGTGATGAATTTAAATATGAATTGAATAAATGGTTCAAAATAAGTATTAAATAGATGAAATTTAATATTAATTTGAAATGAAATTACCATCTTCTGATGTAAAATTAGTACTATTAGTGGTGAAACTTTCAACTTTCAAATTAGATTGATGGCAAAAGAAATTATGAGTCACTATAATTTTCTTTGAAAACCATTCAAACGACATTTTTCTTTTTGCATTCTACCTTTACTTTTTTGTCATGGCCGAGCACTTTTGGATATAGTATCCACGTTTTTCTTTATCCAGTACCCAAGAATTCACCGTCATCAACAAGTAGCTTCTTAGAAGTTCTATACATGACCACTTTTTGACATAGTATCGACTTTTTCTTTACCCAGTATTCTTTACCCAACACTGAAGAATTCCCAGTCATCAATGGGTAGCTTCTTATAAGTTCTATGCTTGTGGTAAAAACTAAAAATATAAAATATATTTGGTAGTTATTTATATTCAAAAAAATTATGAAAACAAAAATGAAATATTTATATTATTTCCATAGTTCATTGTGGTTGCTTTGATTAATTTTTAAATATCAAATATGTTGCTCCTCAAAATATTGGAGATACACCACTCAACCACAGAAAAATCATCACCGAGCCACCGAAAACCCATCACCAACATCCCCAACACCCCTGTAAAATCCACTACTCAACCACAGAAAATCCACTATCAACACCCCAAATGTCTACTACCCAATCCATTGAAAATCCACCACTCAACCCCTGAGAACCCACCACCTACCACAAAAAAAAATATCAAATAAAGGCGAGAGAAAGAGAGAGAGTCGAAACAGAGAAAGGCAAGAGAGAGAGTAAAAACAGAGAGAGGCACAGAGAGGGTAGAAGAGACGGTAAAAAAGGAAGTGAAAGTAGGAGGTTTATACTCAAGCAAGAAAAATCATTTTTGGTTTTGCAAAGGAAAATCGAAGCCGGGTATTTTGTTTTTTGGGTGTTTATGAAAATTCTGTTTTTGTTTTCATTTTTTCACCTTGTTTTTAAAAGAGTTCTTAAAAAAACAAAAACACATCATAAATTCATTATTTTTTTTATTTTTGACAAAAATTAAAAACAGAAACAACAAATTACCAAACGCAACCTTAATAACACCCCACTCAAACCATAAATTATTTTTTTCTTGAGATGGAAAGATACCATCTAACTGAAGCAATAACTTGACATCAGGAATGGAGTGAATCATTTCATCGTAAGCCTTGAGGTATGTATCCTTGTAATAGCATGGATCACAAAAATCTTAAAGGTTTTGCCTCCTATATGCAATGCCGACAACACCATGTTTGCAAGGTATGCTATTGATATCCCAAACTCTACATTCACAAGTCCTCTTACCAATATCAACTACATAATCAAATAATCTATCTGTGATTTGAAAGTCATCACGACCAGCCAGTAAGAGGGTACATTTTCTTGATTCATGTTTGATGGCATTCAACTTCTCCACAACTTTTGGTGTCACAGAGTTATGTCAAGTACATGCCTTTTCAAACCTTTTTTGAAACCTATTTATGAGTTTTGCCCTCAGACTTTCTAGCAAGATTAGTATAGGTTTTTCCCTTAACTCTCCAACCTAGTTGTTGAATGACTCACTCAAATTGTTTGTCACATGGTCACTTTTCATCGAAGTGTCAAAAACATGCCTTGCCCACATTGAGGAAGGCATCCTTAGAAGCCATGCAAATGCTTCAGGCTTCACTCCCTTAATTTTCTCCATGGCATAATTGAAGTCTTGTTGAGTGTATGCCCTTGCAGCCTTTCAGAATAAGCTCCTCAAAAGTATCCCAGAGAAGGAAGCCCCAAAATTATTATAAATGTGCCTACAACAGCGTCTAAAGAAAGGCATACAACATAATTTGATTAATTGCCTCCTTGCAACCCTACATGCAAAAGCATTTTAAAGTATTAGGGAATAATAAGTACATATTAAACTACAGAAAGAAGTATTAAAAAAAATACCTTACGTTTATCAGTCATGAAGTTCCATGACTTAACCTCTTGGAACCCATATAACATTTCACTGAGCCACTCAAAGAAAAAACACCAACTATCCTTTGTCTCTGCTTCCACAACAGAAAATACAACTAGAAACAAACCATTGTTTCCATCTAGTCGAACCGCTGACAAAAGCACACCTCCATAAGGCCCTTTCAAGTGGCATCCATCAACACCTAAGAAAGCCCTACACCCACTTATGAAACCTTGCCTAAGAGCAAAGAATCCTAAGATTCTCTTGGAAGATGGAGAACTTGCCAAGTTATCCAACTGGTAATAGATCTTCACAATGCTACTCGGGTTTGTTTGATTCACCAAATGACCATATACAGGCAGCCTTCCATACGAATCGCCATGGTTACCATGAATCAATTCTAGAACTTTCTTTCTTGCCCTATACAATTTCATCCTAGGAGGTTGCACTCCATACTTTTTCAACTCTTCCATCATTCCTGAAATTGTCGTGTTAGGATTAGCCTTCAACATATTCTCTAGTTTTTTGGAAATCCATGGAGCATTTGTTTCCTTGGATTTGGTATTCCTAACACTGCTATGGATAAAGTTATATGTCTTTATCTTGTAGGTAAGCATATTAGGTAAAAGAGAAGCATGTATCCTCCAAGGGCATCCCTCAACACCATAGTATGTTGTTACCCTTTTCTTTTCATTTTTATCTCTGACCAATGGGAATCCCCCTTGAATCACACTCTTTCAAGGCATCTCTAAATGCATTAATGTTTGGAAATAACATTTCTGCCTCAAATTCAATTTTTTTCACCTTCCTTGACATTGAATATTTTACCACAAAGTGAAGCATCCAATGGGTCATCCTCAAGCTCATCGTCAGAATCTACATGCTGCCCACCGTCACTATTTGACTCATGGTCTGACAATGGTCCACCATCAACTACATCATATGTATCTCTCTCAATATCCTCTAACTCTACATCACACAAACTAATATCACTTTCAGTGTGCACACACCACCCATCATCATCACTAAATTGTAACTCCTCAACCCTAACTTCGTCCTCATGACCATTACTTCCTTCATTCCTAGAGGGTTGAAGATTAGGAACTTGCACAACTAATGATCGTTGAAACTGAACATCTTTGGTATACAACTGAATCACTACACACTTGTTATGTAACTTG